AAGCTTCCTACCCATCTTGGAACTTCTCTACCCTTCCCCTCGTATCCAGTTAGTCCAATACATAATTGATGAAATGGAGGCAAGCCAATCAAAAAATTTACCTATGCTCACAAAGTTAGTACCTTCTTCAATCACCTCCCGCGGATCAATGCGTAATGAATTATTAACATACTCTGGCTCAAAAGAGTTCAGACGGTTATCCTCCGGGATTCCTAGCGAAGCCCACGAACTACCATCATCACAGCTGCCGCAACATCCGTCATCAGGTTTATTCCGATGATGAAATTTTTCTATATTTGTAATGAAATAAATTCAACAAAATGAAAAAATTTGTTTATTTATGTATTTATAAGAGTGTAGTTATAGTAATGTAATAATTTGAATTTTTTTATGGAAACAATCAAACATGTCTTACGTCGGACTCAAATCTAGTTAGTATGTTATCGACTATTAAGTCTTTTTTTTTTTTTGGTGGACTATCAAGCCATTCATCCAATAAATTAAGAATTCCGCCATGTAAAAAAGAAATTGTATTCAAATTACATCTACCCAATAAGAGGATAAGAGTAATTATGAGGAGTTATAAGCTCTCCACATTCACAAACGTGATATATAAGTGATCAATATGTATTAGGATCCCTACTGTGCTTAGTCAGTGACAAAAACCCTTTATCTATCTTATCCAAAGTGATGCATTCCTAAATTCGGGGATGGGAATTCCAGTTGGATTACTAACGAACTACCAGTCTTGCTTAATTATGAGTTAATTAATCACTATTAAACGTGAAATAACTCCCGAAAAATACCCAATACTATAGCTTAAAAACGAATATTCTATCGACCACCACAATGTTAGTCTATTAATCAAACACTAATCCCCTGAGAAAAAATTGGACAAGGTACGGGATAAGATCAACACATGAAGCATGCCTATATAAACACTCTTAACTCACTCACCCTCTTCACCCTTCCTTAATTCTTCGGATTCCCTCTCGTGTTCTCGTATTAATTAACAACAGCAAGATGGTTGCCGGAGTAGGTCCCAACGGTGGCGGCGGAGGCGACGAGTATCCGGGCAGGTTCACCGGCTTCGTAGCGGTGACATGCATCTTGGGCGCCATGGGCGGTCTCATCTTCGGCTACGACATTGGCATCTCCGGTAACTAAATTTTCGTAATACGTAATTATTCCTCTCTGTTAGTAGCTAACGGCAATTTTATTGATTCTGTAGGTGGTGTGACGTCCATGGCTCCGTTCCTGAAGAAATTCTTCCCCGGAGTATACCACAGGGAGATCAACGACCGGTCGCACAGCCAGTACTGCAAGTTTGACGACTTCACCCTCACCGCTTTCACCTCGTCGCTATACGTGGCGGCTTTCTTCGCCTCCCTCGTCGCTTCGACCGTCACTAAAAAGTTCGGCAGGAAGTGGTCCATGTTCCTCGGTGGACTCATCTTCCTCTCCGGCGCTCTCCTCAACATGTTCGCTTCTCACGTCTCCATGCTCATCGTCGGCCGCATCCTCTTGGGTATCGGCGTTGGCTTCTCCGTCCAGGTTCGTCTCCAGATATTGTCCGCTTTGTGCTAAACCTGCACAAATTTAATATTAATACGATAGTGTCCACTTTATACCAACCCTGTACGGAATCTATTATTAATACGATAGTATCCACTTTATGCTGAAATCATATATTATTAATACGATAGTATTAAACCAGCAAAGATTTACTTTTGGTTAATGGTGTTGTTATTATTGGCATGCAGTCGGTCCCACTGTACGTGTCGGAGATGGCGCCGCACAAGTACCGAGGCTCCCTCAACATCGTCTTCCAGCTGTCAATAACGGTCGGGATCTTCGCGGCCAACCTGGTCAACTACTTCACCCCGAGGCTGACCTCCGTGGACGGGTGGCGCGTGAGTCTGGGAGGCGCGTGCGTCCCGGCCCTCATCATCATGGTCTCCTCCTTCTTTCTCCCCAACACCCCCAACTCCATGCTCGAGCAGGGCAAGCCGAAAGAAGCCCGCGAGATGCTCCGCCGCATCCGCGGCATCTCCGACGCGGAAGTCGAGGCCGAGTTCCGCGGCATCGACGAGGCGAGCGCTGCCGCCAGGGCCGTGGAGCACCCGTGGCGGAACATCCTCCTCCGCCGCAACCGGCCTTACCTCGTGATGTCCCTCCTCATCCCGTCGTTCCAGCAGCTCACCGGGATCAACGTGGTGATGTTCTACGCGCCCGTGCTGTTCCAGTCCATCGGGTTCAAGAGCGACGCCGCCCTCCTCTCCGCCGTCATCACGGGGACCGTCAACGTCCTCGCCACGTTCGTGTCCATCTACGGCGTAGACAGGTTGGTTGAGGAAATCAAAATGCGTGTGAAAACTGTTGCGTACTATTACTGAAACCAAACCAGACTGAATTCTATACATACTCTAATACAGGTGGGGGCGGAGGTTTCTCTTTCTCGAAGGCGGCGTCCAAATGATTGGTAGCCAGGTGGCGATCGCTGCGCTGATTGGGTGGAAGTTCGGGGTCACCGGCGACGTGACGGTGCTTCCGGCGTGGTACGCGTGGCTGGTGGTGGGGCTGATCTGCTTCTACGTGGCTGGATACGCGTGGTCGTGGGGCCCGCTGGGGTTCGTGGTCCCCTCGGAGATTTTCCCGCTGGAGATAAGGTCGGCGGGACAGAGTATTAACGTGTCGATGAATATGTTCTTCACGTTTCTGATCGCGCAGTTGTTCCTGACGATGTTGTGCCACATGAAGTTTGGGCTGTTCTTGTTCTTCGCGTGTTTTCTGGTGGGGATGTCGGTGTTTATCTACTTCTTCTTGCCGGAGACGAAAGGGGTCCCGATCGAGTCGGTGGCGCGTGTGTTCAGGGACCACTGGTACTGGCGCCGGTTCATGGTGGCGGATGATGAGGACGATAAGGGCGGCCCCTGCGGGAAGAAGTTCCATTCGACCGCCGTTTAGAAATTATTATTATTATTATCATCATATTTTTATTTTGTAATTAATAGTCGGTTTTGCGTACTCTTTGATTTTTTTTTTTTTTGTAGGAATTAGTTTGGGTAGATATTTGATATATATTCAGAGGATGTTAGTGTTATACATTGACAATATTGTTACTAAATGACCTATAAATAAATAAATAATTATTGGCTTCGTTTCATGCTTTTTTGTTTTTCGGTAGTGACTTCGTTTCATACTATGAACGTATGGATGCATAAGAAGTTCTTCAATAGAATACTTGTTCGACTCGGACATTTCCCAATTTTTTTTACCGTTATCTTAATAAGAAAACCTCCAAACCTCGGCAATATAGTTGTAAATGTAGTTAAGATGTAACCCTAATTAAACAGAAACTTTTCTAACCCGTCCACGATGGGACGGTTATAATTAGTTGGGTTTCGATCGTCAATGTACTGCCAACGTAAGTAGCCACTTTTGGTTAATTTCCATTCAATCGCACTAATTTAACATTAAAAAAACCAGTTGCTACCTATTATAACTCGAGTTGTTAAAAGAAATTCAATTATATATCATATATATGTACCAATTACTGACACACCGCTCTGATAAATTTGATGAATGCAAGCAAAGCAGCGTCGATAGTGGGGCCACTTGGTTCAGGCCGGCGACCCGAAGCAACAGACTCGTTTTCAGGTTAGAACTCCGACACGAGTAGGGAAAAGAGGGAGTGTTTGCTTCACGGTGGTGACGCGACCAGGGAAGCTAACCTCAGTTAGTTTCGGTTGACGACGCTACCCGGGAAAACTATTGGCGACCGAAGAATTCCGAGGGCGCGATTATGGGGGAGCATAATTGCTCTGTAGGGGCAAATGAAAAACGACATAGTCTCCAAGATTTCGATTGCATGGTATAGAATTAGGGGTTTTGGTTGAGTTGTCCGGTTGAGTTAGTTTGATCAGTAAATTATGTTATTAATAATTTAAGTGCCGTGGCTTGCTAACTAGACGAAACTAATGGTTTTTTGGATGGAGAGGAGCGAAATGACCATTTCGTTTTTCTCCCAAAGGTATGTTGCTGGAACGTGCAACATGAAAGGTGTGTGACCATTTTGTACAAAGTGAATAGGTTTTAACCTTTTATGCTAGTTATTTAGAAACTTTTAGGTATAATAAAGGGGAAAGAGTGGTTGATAGGGTTGTTCAAACGGAGTAGTTACCTTATCGGTAGTATTTGGATAGTTTGGTTTGGTTAATTTGAATGATTGGTTTGGTTAAATTTCCTAACTTGTTTAGTTTAGGTGGTTTGGTTCGGTATCATACACTCCTAACCAACCAAACCAAATTAACCAGTTAAGTAATTAGCCTTATATTCAATATATATCGTATACACATACTTAATACTTAGCATAACCGCTCAAGCGTCAAACGTTCCTTCCTTTTAGACTCATACAAATAAAATTTCAATATTGTTCATATATTGTACTTGTATTTGTATAAATGTAGACCCAACATATGGACGCTAGTTTAGATAAAACTCGTACATAAAACTCGTACACTGTGTTGGATGAAAAATTGAAAGGAAGGTTTTTTTTAACATATGATAATTGCTAAGATACTAAGTCAATTAGCACAAATAAAACAATTTGTTAACCCCATATAACATTGCATATATTTTTGTTAGGTGAATAATTATATTCACTATAAGATAATTGTATTAGTTGCATGTATTATGTTAATGATTAACTATAACTATGTGTTGATTGTTATATTTATTCATTATATAAATTGCGAATAGATGCATGAACCAAAAATATTTTCTCACTTAATGATAATGTGATGCTATATTGGTTAATCCGGTTAACCAATTAACCAAACTGATTTAATTTTATTTTGATTAATTTGGTTGTTGTATTAGTTTGGACGGATTGGTTATAATATTCCGTTCCATGATTAATATAATTTAGACTTATTTGATTTGTGGGTTAATTGCAAGTTTGGTCAATGAGATTACAAAAAACGTTCTGATTTGGTCACAAAAAATATTTAATTCTATTCGTGATCACTAAAATTAGTTAAATGGTTCAAATTTGGTCACTCTCCGTCCAACTCTGTTAACTTTTGCTTATGTGGTAGTCAACTTTCATAGTTGACTGTTAAATAAATGACATGGCAATTAAAAATAATAAAATATAATCATTAACAAATTCCACCTCATTTATATAATTAATTAAAATAATAAAATAGCTATAATAACTAAGCGAAGTGAGAAGAATGACCTCTAGACGGCTCTAGTACAATATGATAATAGATTATAGCCAAGGTACTCAGATCCCGTTCAGACCACTGCATCACCGTCGCCGTAATTCTTCGACCAGCTATACTTCCAGCCCTGCATCGCCGTTGATGGACCAGAACACCACCATCGCAACCTATCTTCGCCGGGCTCCACGGCCTGCCAACCGCACCGCCTCCCGTCACCAGCCTTCTTGTCGCTCCGCCTGCCAACCGCACTGCCTCCCATCAGCGCTCGCATGGAAGGGAGAGCTAGAGATAGCACTGCTTCTGGTTTAGCCTTTTCAGGATGTTGGTGATTTCCTCGCTCAAGCATCCCAGCCGCGTCAAGCTTTCGCCAATGGTTTGCTTGATTGGAACAGCGAAGAGGCAATTAAAACCTAGATCTTGGCGTCTAGCGCAACTGACAGAAGTTCCAGACAGTTGAAACCAATGGTTCTAACTCGCGGCCTCCGCTTGAGACGTATGTCACCGCCACCGCTTCAGCTGCTCTTGCTGCCACTGCCTCTCACGATTTCACTTCCTCCTCCTCCTGCAATCGCGCGCTCGTCGGCGCAAGGAGTTAGCGAAGAAGTGCTATCGAGGCAAAGGAGTGAGTCGCGATTGAGATTTCGCAGGTGAAGGAGTGGGTGGCGACGGCTAGGAATTTGGAAGAATCGCAAACGAGAAAGAGAGAGAGAGGTGAATCGGAGGGAGCTCGTTCAGTCTTCACCTGCTAAGGGACAAGGCGACGAGAAGCGAGATTGAGAGGCGACGGTGGGGAAACGCAGGGCCGGACGACTAGGGTTTTTTGGATTATACAAAATTAATATTATTTTTAGCTTTTTAATAGTTGGAAGTGAGGTGGAAAATTTACAATTTAAAATTTATTTATTTTATTATTTTTAATTGTCATGTCACATATTTTACGGTCAACTATAAGAGTTGACTGCCACATAAGCAAAAGTTAAAGGAGTTGGACGAAGAGTAACCAAATTTGAACCATTTAACTAATTTTAGTGATCACGAATGGAATTAAATATTTTTAGTGACCAAACATGAACGTTTTTTTGTAATCTCAGTGACCAATCTTGCAATTTACCCTTTGATTTGGTAATTAGCATGATTACCATTTGAACACCCCTAATGGATGAGACAACCAGAAAAGTAGGATTTCAAGTCGGAGGCAGCGCCAGATTGTTTGCGACAGGCCGTGATTGTATTGGAATAGGTGGTTGGCGACGCTACAGCGTTGCCAGATATGCCTCTCCTTTTTCTACGTTTTCCTTGTGTTAATAAATGGAGAGTGATTTGTGGCTTGTAAATGTATTTTATATTATGTAAATATTGATATATGGATGACCATTGCCATTGCCACATTAGATGCTCAGTTGGGAGTTACATGTAACCTCTATTCCTACATTTGATACCTCCTTTATGTTTCATTATCTCTCATTGATATAAGGAAGTAGTGGTTACCAAAGTGTGCCTATAAATAGAGCAAACTATTTGTATCTAAAGTGAAGAAGGAATAAGAAGAACTATTCCCCTCTCTTCTCTTGTGCCTTTCCCTATCTAATCTTCTCTTATAGTTGTTTATATTTTCCATTAGTTTCATAACACGTTATCAGCACGAAGCTCTGTCAAAGTCATGGTTGGTCATTGCCTCTCTACATAATCAAATATATTTGAGTAAGATCATAACAAGATCAAGGTATGCAAATTTTCATTTCGTTTCTTGTTAGTATGTTCATATTATTTTATGAACTTATTTTATGTATGTCTATCTCATAGTATAGAGTTAGTACTTAGACATTATAAAAAAATGGAAATTTCTCCTGTAGTAACAATAACAAGAAAAGTAATATTAGTAATGAGTTAATTTCTCAGTTCTCTGTGTTATCCTATTCTTATCAATCCTACATTGATATGTAGAAAATGCAAATTCCAGGAGCTATATATTCCCCATAAGTGGAAATTGATGAATCCAAGGGCAAAGAAAGAAGTGGGCATGGTAACAAGAATATTGGTTATGTATGTTACCATTGTAATGGAAAAATGCGTTTGTCTCGTACCCGTTGTACGCAAAAGACTTTATTCTACCAAGAATCAAAGGGAAAAAGAAATTCATATATGCTCCTGCAATATCAATATCATGGAACATGTTTTTGTATTATAAGTTGGTATATCTCCATTAAATATGAAAATGATATTGCACTTGAGAAATTTTCATTTCCAGAAGTGAATGAAACAATCTATCCCCAAAGTGAATGGAGCTATAAACATAATTATATGTATATATATGGGGAGTTCTAGGGTACCCCGGGTGAAATCCGAGGTACCGCATACCTTGAAGTGAGAAAAGAGGAGAATTATAAATTAGGATGACACAACAATTGCATTATCAAAGTCATGATAACATAATGTACCCGTTGTACATTGAATATAGGTTAAATACACTTGTATATCCAAAACTTTCACGGTTGTGCCAATAATATCCAAATTTCCGGAAATACCACTTATATCCAATACCTTCACATTCTTTAACGGTGTTTTTGGATATACAAGTGTATTTAACCAAAAATATATTGGGAAATGGATAGATTTGGCAAAGAACAACTTTAAAACATGGATATAAGTGGTATTTCGGGAAATTTGGATATTTTTGGCACAACCATGAAAGTTTTGGATATACAAGTGTATTAAACCTTGAATATATAATGAAACACATATATATTTCTCTATCAACCTGAAGGTAAATGTAGTCACCTAGTTGGTGATGGTAATATTCCAAATAAATCCTATTCAAGTTTGGTACTAGTTGATTGATTTCAAAATTAATTCTTTTTTCTTTATTATGCTTTATGCACTAAAAATTCTTTTATTTATCAATAAATAATTAGTTACATCATTACTTATATCTTAAAGTAGAGATATTCTCCTTGTTCTTAGTATAAATGTCCTTATGAAGCATGAATATTTACAAGAATAAATATTCGTATTATATCATATACTACAAAAGTAAGTAAAAGCTCCGGAAGAGTTTATGTTTTGATTACTTGAAGTAACTAACTTATATATGAGCAATTTTTTTTTTTGACTTCACACTAATTAAGTCATGGGCAAAATTTAGTACCAAAGTATGTAAAAGCTCTAGAAGAGCTAATGTTTTATGTGATATATTAGTACTATTTGTACACATAAAATGTAAACCAGAAGTTTACAAGATTTGATAACTTGGTAATTTGGCTGGTCCGGTTAGACCAACCCGAATCATGATATGAAAAATAAAGTTCTTTGAGAATTCAAGAGAACATCATATGAGAAGCCGAAGAACTCTTCAACTAAAAGAGTTATTATGTCATGCTTGTTCTCAAGAAGAATAGAACAATTGATCATCGCATGTATAAGAGTAGGCAAACCTCTTGAGGTTTTATGGACGTGTATGCAGAATAATACATCAGTCATATAAATCATTTGTGAATTTTATGGGTTGATGAATCAAATGGATGATCACATGTATTTTATCTAATTGCAACCTGATGTTTGCGAGATTGGTTACCTCACTATGGATACATTTTGATGGTTATCCAATCAAACATGACTTTGCTTATGAGAACAAACTAAGTCTTCCGGTCTCTTGTCGAGGACATGCTAGATGGCAAGTGATAGTATTGGTTCGCATCTAACCAACAAGTTATCATAAGTTTCCCCCCTTTTACAAATGGTTTTGGTCAGAAACCTAACATATGAGAATATCAGGGTGTGCAACATACATGCCAATTGCCCCACCACAGTATCTTAAGTTAATTCTCATTGGAAATTGAGAACTTGTCTTGTGTATGAATCCCAAATTGGAAATTTGTTTGCGAAATTATTGTTTTGATGAATCACTTTTTTAATATTAAGGGGGAGAGAATTAAAATCTAGACAAAGAGATGAGTTGGAATGAGTTATCATTATCTAGTTTTGATTCTCAAAGTAAGAAACATGAACCTGAAGTTCATAAGATGATTTATCATTACCAACTATCAAATACATTTACTAACCATATAAAGTGACCAAGTTAGATATACTAGTTGTGAATGCTCCAACTAAATTTGATATCCTTGTTGGATACTCTAATATAAATAATGTGTCAAAAGAGCGCATGAAGCGTGATAGACCAATCGCTTCCAATGATAAGCAGCCTCGAGAAAGGAAAGGAGTTGTAATTAGCATGGTCAACTCGAGGACATGAAAACTCAAGAAGAGTAACCAAGTATAAAGTAAGATTTTAGTTCCTAGAACACATGTGTCTGAAAGCTATGAAAGCGAAGAGATCTCAAAACATATTGGACTACAATACTGGAACCGTAATGAAGTCATTGTTGACAAAAAATTTTGTACTTCAGTACTGAATATGATATATGCAAGTGAGGATCAAGAGTAAAACTCTATTGATGCATGCAAATGATAATGTTATTGGCCAATATAGAATGAAATCATGAAACTTGCTCAAAGAGCATAAAGTTTAAGAACCAGAAGTCCTTACACCTGAAAAGGGTAAAAATAGCGGGATACTAACAAATTTTGGTGCTATTGGAAAAATGAAATTGTGAGAGATATAGCACAATTTTTTGCAATATGTTTCTCGAAGAGACCTATCATGTTTCAGAGGAGTTATGCTCCCATGTGGTGGATGCAACTGCTTTTTCAAATCAATGTTTGAAAATTATTGTGATAGCCTATTTGTTTGAATTCCCTGAAGATGTTATATATATTTGAAACTCCCAGAAGGATTAATTTACTCATAGAAGGATTAATTTACCTGAAGTAAACAAGTAAAGTTCTCGAGAATATATATCGATAGAATAAGACAATCCCTTGTATGGGTTGACAAAATATAGACGAATGTGAAATACTCGTCTAAATGAACACCTACAATAGTAGGGTGAATGGACCTTAAAAGGTTAAATCCGGAAAGAGTGCATTAGAGCATTTGCATTGTGTATATATAGTTTTGTTGTCTGTATGTGCTTTAAGGATTTTAAATTCTTGGTTTATGAGTTGTGATTTACTTTAAAGTATGAGTTGTGTTTTATGAGTGTGCTTTGTCTAGTTCATATGTTTCTATTATGTGAGTTTTGTTATTATCTTTCATTATATGAAAGAATTGCTTGCATCAATTTGTGTTAGTTAAGTTTTTTTGTGACGATCTCATATTATGTTGATGATATGACTATTATTGGAGCTCCTAAAGAGCTTTCTAAAGCAATTGATTGCTTAGAGACATAAGTTAAATCGAAGGATTTAAGATCCTCTTTGTGGGCAAGGAAGGTAATGTTGAAAAAGTGGGAAAGTAGAAATTGCATGAACAAATTGTATTCATCAAATAACATTAGTATCCTGAGATAACTAGAAGTGACCAAAGATCAATTTAATCATCAAGAAAGAAGTGAAACATTAGGTCCTGAAGTACCATATGTTGATGCATCAAAGCAACAATGCACCTTGCTAGCAAAGCACCATATAAACTATCGTTTTGGTGTTGATAATATTAGCAAGATACAATGTTTCCCTCATTGGAATTCTGGAAAATACTTTGTTACCTCCGGGGAACAATATATGTGATTGTTCTA